GCGATCTAGTAGGATATACCGTTTGTTGAGCAGTGTACACACCAAATCTATCTTATATTTTTTTCGAAATATGAAAACACATCGTGACTTTTTGTCAACATTTATACTAATTGGATATTTCATTATTTATGTATTATTTAATTTAATTATTAATTTAATTCAATTTTTGGAAGAGGACACCCCTACAAAAAATTTCTGGATCCGCCACTGTATATACTACTTTTCAAGTTTGTACAACACAATATATGATATTATAATATCAAACATTCAGAAATACGCTAGCAGCTGGGACAAAGAATAATAAGTGCCATTATCAGCCTTTGCTTCTATGATCTTTTTGATAAGTTATTGTTTAGATCCAATTGTATTTTAAGAAATCCAACTTTCCTGCCATAGTTTTTGTTTTTATTGGAAAGAAGCTTTCCTCCTGACTTGGGGTCTTTTGACAATTTATTCGACTTTTCTTCTTAATCATATACATATACTCCGGACATTAAACTAGTTATTAATTTATAAGGTAATAATATATAGTTAGCCAACGGCGCCGTTCAACATTCTCGGCCATCTACTCTGAAATAGAAGTAAACAATTGATCGTTCTGTTTCCACCGTGAGGAGAGCAGGCGGCTGGTGCATGCATGGATTCTTCGGATGGTAAGTTACGTTAGTTACGTGGCCATTTAGTGCTTTTACGTAGTGGTGGCTATACGGTCCGGTCCGGTTAAATTGGACCAAATTGATCCGGTCTCAGTCCGGTCTTTTCGGGAATATAAGGACCAAAGATTAGATTGGATACAATCCGGTCTTGATCCGGTCCGGTCTTGACCCGGTCCGGTCCTAATTTGATCTTGATTTTAGGTGTTGATACGGTCCGGTTTCGGGTAAAACCAAACAGTCCCGGACCAAATTGCCAGCCCTACTTTTACGGCATCCACACAACATAGAGATTCTAAGTTCTTTCTTGGGTTGGTGTGTGGGTCGCCTCTGGTCGTCTGATGATGTGCATTTATAAAGAAGGTTAGAGATTTAGGATTTTGCGTCTGTCTGATCGGTATGATCTGAGTTATACGAACGATCCGAGAATGCGACTAGGCAATAGATATGTCACTCAGGCAGTCCTGGCTTGAGTGGCCATACCCTAGACAGGCAGTCCTGCAGGGAAACGGGAGGAAAAGTTGACGAATTAATTTACTCATCTTTCACATAAAAAAAAAGGATGATGTGGAATTTTCTTTTAATTTTCTTTAGCATAAATTACTATGTACAGAGAATTTAAAGTCAGGGAACGATATATATAGGAGGAATAGGACCATCTCAAACTAAACCCATTTGGGAAAAGAACAAATATATATTTTGGATGTGAACCCACCAGATCCTGAATCCAACTTCATTCCACTTTTTTCAACTCCCTTGACCTTTTCCTCCATTCCATACACACAACTATATGGAAAAGAAAGCCATAATCAATATTGCTCAACCTCTCCAACCTTTCCTATATTTAATTTGTACCGAGAATTCCAATATATCTATATAATTAACACTAAAATATAAACAACAAATTAAGGTCCCAGGTCCCTCATCAGTAATTTAATTGATCCTTAATGAGACCATCTTTATAACATGAAAAAAAGGATAACAAAGTGTAGCTCATGGATTATAGTTTAAAACTTATAGCACAATTTCAACCGTTTCTTGGCTCCCATGCCCGTGAATTACCCTTTCCTAGATCATGGCCATCAACCTGAGCCTGGTTGCAGGTATATATAAAAATCAAGACATGGATTTCCATAAGGGAGGTATTCTAGAGAGAGAAAACATAGTATAGGAAAGATATAGAGAGGAAAAGGTGTGGCCAAGTGACATCCAAACATATAATTTTCATGTAAATTTTTGAAAATTTTATGTACTAAAATGTAATTATGAAAATTTTAGGTTCCAAAATGTAACGAATGATACTTTTCGTTAAAAATAAAAATTTAGGTATTAAAACATAAAAATATTAAAAAATATAGCTACTAATATAAGTTTCCAAATATCAATGAATTCAATCCATTAATCCACCAATCCAATTAGATTGGGATAAAATGAATTAAGTGAGTTAGATTCAAATTGCCACCTTTAGAGATAAATATATTGATATGACTTGAAGACAGATTATCTGCCGTCAATTGGAAGTCACGAGGGTCTCGATGCCCGGTCAGCGAGTCATGATCCAGAGCAAAGCGCTTGCTTTGAGGGTATGAGGGCACAAGGAGTCCGTAATCTAGGAAATAGTGGTATGTTGGTTGCAGCTAAGTCTAGACTGCCATAAAAAACATTTATTTGATTTTTCCTTCAAAACCCGTCGAATCTCAGTCACTTTACCAAATTTTTGTTGTTTTTATAATTTTTTAATTAATGAATATACTAATCAATTTATGTTGTTATTATTTTATCGTGGTTGGGGAGGACATGGATATATAGAATCAAAGATAGTATGTTGATCAAGGACTGAGTGATCTAAGCGTGTTGTACGACCAACCTAAACATCGTTCAAAGGATGTTTGGAACGATCACGAGGTAACGTACAATTCTTCATCATTTGTTAATTTTTTATTTTGTCAACGTACTTAGTGGTTTATAAAATAAATTTGATAATTTTTAATCGTATTGATAATATTTAATGGTTTGTGCTAATACAATGCTCCACTTACTTAGAATCTTTATAAAGAGATGCATGCCTAAGGAAATGAGGTCTTAAGCGATAATCATGATCCTCCCATTTCTTGGGAAAATTGTGTTTTAAGCGATCTCGTATCCCCCTTTTTCTGTCAAAAAGGTTGCTTTTCTAATAACATGTATATCTCTTCTAAGAGTCTAACGAGTGTACTTGTATTCGATTAAATTATTGAAAACAACCAATACGATTTACACAATAATATAATTGACTTATGTGTATGTGTACAAAATTAATTTTATTAATTTCAAATATTTGAATATGTATCTCTTTAAATTATTATTCATTTAAAATTCTATTTATTTTAATTAATCGAATATGCTCGTTTTACGAAATTATGTATATATATTGGAAAACCCTTTGATTTTGTTTATTTAAATTGTTTGTTATAATAGATTTATACTTTAGTATATCATAAACTTATTGTGAAAGTTAAATTATTTTGCTAGGATGCACACGATATAATCTACTATAGGGCTACGAGCAATGTGCTCTCATGGAACGACGCCATCTTGCCTTTTCTCAAAAGGGCCATGCAGCCCCACGTCTGCAATCCTCTGCATGCCGACATGTCGGAAGTCGGGGTAATGGGGACGGCACACAAATCGCTGGGGGTGCGGTTTGTGTGTTGGCAAGGTAAACTGCCTGTTGAAGAAGAAGATTTTTATTGTCAACGTAGAACCGCTCCTTCAACAGGCGGTTTGTTCTAGGTCAGCCTTTAAACCACCTCTCCATACGACGGTTTGTGCAGATAATTTAGACCGCCGCCTTAACTTGCGGTTCTCGGTTCTGGGAAAAAATTTCTGGGAAAAAAGGATGATCAGGCTATTAAGTATTTGTGTGCTTGGTTTGTCTTTTACGAGCTGTTCTATTTGTTTACGTCGCTCGATCGATCGGTTACTACAAAATCATGTGCAAACGTAGTTTGGATTCCGTACGGTACGTCTAATATGGAAAGGGATTGTAATTTGAGAATCAGTTTCATTTTCACGCTGCCTGCAAAGATGAAAATGACGTGACGAGGTTGAATGTCGATCAGGCACGTATTGGTTGCTAAATTTCAAAGGTGGTTGGGTTTGGGCCAAAGTCTGGCGTTTTCCTTGTGGTTAGCCATAATGCATGATTGTGTGAGTGCAAAGCTGAATTTCCCCATTTCCTCGTGAGCCAAACACATGGATCTCCAATGACCATTAAACTTAATTTTTGTAAATTGAAAAAAAGGCTGAATCTGACCTTTTGTTTGTGAGAGCGAAAGTATGCCAGCAAGTTAGGAGAGTCTCCATCTCTTTCTCAGACCACAGCAAAAAAGTTCTGTTGTAAGCAATCGATAATCCAGATCAATACAAACGATTATAAATTTAACGTGGTTCACTAATACAGTGTGTGCTAGCTAATACACGAACAGGGAAGAACAAATTTCACTTATTTGAGTAGAGTACATGTTACAAACCAAATTCCGGAACGGACAAACCAAACAAACTAACATGACTGACCTAACAACAGATTAAGGTGATGAAGAGTATTTATAGAACTCTTCTCCTGATCCCAAATAGAAAACCAAACACATTTTCCAAACCTACAAGGAAAATGCCAAACACAAATCCAACAGAATAGGCCCAAAACACAAAACAAAGTTCAAATTAAATTCAAGTCATATCCTAACAAATCTTCACCTTGACTTGAATTCTCTCTCAAATACCATATGTACCAAACGCAACCAAAGTTTCCAGATGAACCCAGACCTGATCATTATCGTCAAACTCAAATGCGATGCAAATCGCTAAACACATATGCAATCAAAATTGCCAGACGTAACAAACTCTCCAAATCTCCATAGGTGACAGAATCTCCTCTGTCTCCAAATGCCCTAAGAGCGGTCAACAAACCAAACCATTCACCAAGTCCAACCGTTATTGAGATTTTGTCATTCAGAACCAGCTTGGTCCACTTATCACCGACCTCCACCCAACGTCTTATGGAACCTTAGTAGCATAGCAATACATGGGCTTAAATCCACTATCAGACCTCATAGTAGTGGATTAGTATTTTACTTCTGATCAAGATGTCATGGGCTCGACTCCCACTATGGGCTAGTTTTATGACTTTTATCCCTGATGAGAGTAATGTCCTTCAGAAGTCAGAACGCTAACCCAGCACACTCCATTTGTCAGAGCTGGTCAAACCATTCATGCCTTCATTCAAAGCCTCTTTCGGATGGGACTGATTCCAACCAGTGCAATGCTAGACTATAGTATGGACGGAGTTAGGAGAAAGGACACCACACCTGAATAACCTGATGCCCATATGCTACAGCTATAAGACGCTTACAACACATCCAGCTATTACATTTTCTTTCAGCCTCACATATCTTCAACATACTTCACAGTTCACAGTCGTTCAAAATAGCAAGTCATTCATGATTCAACTAGCAGATAGTGTGGCTGTCATGAATGGGTCATCGAAGTCCCACGAGGAACACTAGTAACAAAGGTACTTGCGTGACATTGCAAACATCGGCATGGAAAGTAACCAAGGAGGTCTGGACAGGAACTAACAAAAGATCATGGATTCTGAGAAAAATAGCGAGTAATTTTAGGTCTTCAAACATAAACAAATCCACAGGTTGAACTAAAAGATCGGCATTCGACTAAATCAAGAGCTCTCACAAATGGCAAAAACCCACATTTTTAATCCAAGTGCAATCCTTCACTACCCTAAACTTTGATAGCATATTTCCTCAATGGGAAGTACATCTCTTTCTTCTTCTCCCGCTCGGTCTTCAGAGATGCCTGCAAACACCATAACAATGGACAAAGAACAATCACCAAAATGTTCTCTACTTTGTGTTGCCAACACCGACGATACGGTACAAAATGGCTGGAAATGATCAGCAACAGACTACCAAGAATAGACATTTTAACAGTACCAGTTCACACAGAATAGTCATACAACATTTCACAGCAAACAGATGCACTTCCAGTCACCAGATGCTTAACCCTAGGTCATCAATACAATTGCCTTCTAGATTCACTAGCTAACCTTAGGAACTCGCAGATGTGAGGCTTCAACCACAAACCAAGTTGCCACCAGTTCTATTGCTTTCATAACACTGGATAGCTTCAAACAACTACAAAAGCAAGCTTCCAGCAGCGGGCTTTCCACCCTTATCAAGTTAACTATTTCTACGCTGAGCATTCTCCTACTCATAGTGCAAGACATATTATCAATAAGTTGTGAGGCCAGACTCCACATTATCATAACAGCATAATTATAGTTAAACGAACAGCAAGAGAATACACACTTGGTGCTTGGTGAGGCGTCTGCGAATAGCACGAGTCTTCTTGGGACGGAGATCAAGGGGCAACAACTTCTTGTTCTTGTAAACGTCCCTGAGAGCGGCCTTCTGTTTCTGAGAGATCACTGTCAGCACCTGCGCAATCGATAGCCTCACGACCTTGCTGCCCAATTGCAAAAAATCATACAAATCAGAAAAAACAAAGCACGTAAACAATCGATCAGATAAAGAACGAAATGGGGGAACAAAAAGGAGGAGCCTTTACATCTTGGAAAGCTTGTTCGGTGCACCGCCGGTGACCTTGGCGACGCGGAGGAGAGCGAGCTCAGACTTGAGCTCCTTCAACTGGCTCAAGAGGTCTGCCTTTGACTTGTTCCTCAACTCATGAACCTTAATCCTCGCTGATGTAGCCACCATTTCGCATCAGAAATCGAATCAGCGGAAAACATCCAGCAATTCGGACTCACCGGAAAATGCAACGGAGAAAGAAAACCAGAGGTCGGAGTTGAGTTTACTTACCCATTGTATGCTTCCTTGTGCAGCTCGGCTCTTCACTTCCTCCTCCCCTGCGGCCACTTCCTAAACCCTAGAAATTATTCCGAAGCAGAGAAGGCAAATGCTTCATCTTTATAGCTTCCGTTGCTAACTGGGCTGGACCATAGTTAGGCCCGAATTCGATGGTAGAGAGCCCATTTTATTGGGCTCGTGAGGAAGCCCTTTTACGTCCAGAAGCAAGAAAGACGGTAGTTGGGCTGTTTGGTTACCGTCAATTTTCACGGGTCCGTTTCTCCTCTTTCTTCTCTTCCTTTTACGCGGTGTCGGAGTTCGGACGCATGAAGCGTGGCAATTTCCAACTGCCCAAATAACTGTCATTCTCACGGGAGCAATTCCCTCCTAGTTTCTCAATTCTTTTTTACATTTCCTTGTACCAGCTCCACCGTCACCTCCGTTCACGACAATTCTGACCGGAACCGCTCACCGGAGCTCGGCCTGAAGCCGCACAGGATGAAGCAGCTGCACAAGCAAGCGAGCGTGAACTACCGTCGGGACGAGGAGATGCCGGGGAATCAATACTCGCCCAAGACACTCAAACACCCTAGATCTCTTCCCAGATCCATCAACTACCTCTTCCGCGAGCAGCGCCTCCTCTTCGTCCTCGTCGGAGTTCTGATCGGCTCTACTTTCTTCATCCTCCAGCCCACTCTCTCCCGCCTCGGCCCTTCTGAGGCTCGCACTGCCGTCACCAGTTCCTTGTCCGGCTCTTCTTCTGTCGTTCAGTCCTCCAACCGCGGATCTCAGGGCATATTCCAGAGGAGGTCGGTCTCCGGCCGGGTACCTGCGGATCTCGGCCGACGGAGGTTGAGGATTGTGGTTACCGGTGGAGCTGGATTCGTCGGCAGCCATCTGGTGGATAAGTTGATTGCCCGCGGCGATGAGGTAATTGTGATTGACAATTTCTTCACGGGGAGGAAGGATAATTTGGTTCATCTGTTCGGGAACCCTAGATTCGAACTCATTCGTCACGATGTTGTGGAGCCTATACTGTTGGAGGTAGATCAGATCTATCACTTGGCTTGCCCTGCATCTCCGGTTCATTACAAGTACAATCCCGTCAAGACAATCATATCCTTTCTAATTAATTATCTCCATTTATGAACGCTTTTGTTGTGTATTGTTGCTTTGAATTGGAATTGGGTTTTTGAGATCCTTGACTGTGATTGCCTGACTTACAAGACAAATGTGATGGGAACGCTGAATATGTTGGGTTTGGCCAAGAGAGTGGGTGCCAGGTTTCTGCTGACAAGTACCAGTGAGGTCTATGGTGACCCGCTTGAGCATCCACAAAAGGAGACTTATTGGGGAAACGTTAATCCGATTGGTTTGTTTCTAATTGCGACGATCGATGTGCATTTGCTTCTTTGAGAAAAAGGATGTGGGTTGTTCATTGACTGGAATGCTTGTGTGACTGCAAATTGATTAGGTGAGAGGAGCTGTTATGATGAAGGGAAACGAACAGCAGAGACATTGACCATGGATTACCACCGAGGTGCTGGTGTTGAGGTAACTGCGATTTGCTTTAAATGTTGGTAGCATTTAATATCTGGATGCTTAACTTGCATCTAGTGTTGGTATCATGTCCTTCCTTTTGCTTTCCGTGAATTGATCTGAAGAATTAAGCTTTCTGACGTGACCATATAAATTGATGGACTTGCCATGGAATGTTAAGAATCCTTTCCTTCTGTTAGTAGTTTTCTTCCTTTTCAAACCAATGATTCTGTCAAGTCTACTTCATTCACAAGCAAAAATGAAGTTAATAAATTGATGAACATTGAGGGTTGATCTCTGAGCTTTGAGATCCAAGTAGGGTGGGCATCTGCTTTCGTTCTTCACTATAGTTTTGCTGCTACAGGTAGTCTGATTCAGGGTAACGGATAAGGGACAAGGTTGTGAATTGTGAACAGGATCGCTTTGAAGCACTGGTTAAAAATACTCCTGTTTTGTATGTACTTAGTTCATCGTGGAATCCTACTATTTGCAGGTGCGTATTGCTCGCATTTTTAACACCTATGGACCTCGCATGTGTTTGGACGATGGACGTGTTGTCAGCAATTTCGTGGCTCAGGTTTGGTTTTCCTCTTTAGCACACGTGACTTCCATCTGATACAATCTTATCTGAAGTTTACTGATTGAAGTTACTTTTGGCAGCCAACTTATAAGTAACCTCTATCTATATTATTGTGATTGCATATCAGTCGTACTAAAATAATTATTGAACCTTTTCAGGCCATCCGCAAACAACCAATGACTGTGTATGGCGATGGGAAGCAAACAAGGAGCTTCCAATATGTTTCTGACTTGGTATGGCTTACTGTTATCTAATACTTTGAAACAGATACTCTTCTTCGAACATGCAAAATTTCTTTTGCATTCATTACTGGCTGTTCCCGGCAACTTTCAAAATTTTCTGAAACTTGCAGAACATGTGAATGCGTAAGAAGCCATTGGTCAATGTTAGCAGATGTGCATTTGAACACTCAGGGTAGTTGAATAGGTCTTCGATCCGGGTCAGTGACAGGAAATCAAACCCTCATGGATTGTCAGTTTGTCAACCTTAGGGCGCATGCCAAGCAATCAACTTCCGATGTCTATGCATCAAATCGGTCGTTACACAGACGTAAAATAATTGCTGGATTCCCGCTGACTTTTCTCTAGCTTGACATACTACATGATGGACTTTCTGAGATGCTAAGTATCAATGTCTCAGACTTAGTGAGTTGCTATGTTAGTTGTGCGACCCTAACATAGGAGGACTAGTGGGCCACAATGTTTGCAAACTTGAGTGAGGGAGAGATAGCTGCAGTGGCATTGTTGTGGCAGAGTGTATCAGTTGTTTGTCACTGTGGGGAGCAACTTTGACATTGTTGTCAGCGCCTTACAGCTGCTGCTCATTTGAATGACAGGTAGATGGATTGGTAGCACTGATGGGAGGTGAACATGTTGGTCCATTCAACCTTGGCAATCCTGGAGAGTTCACCATGCTTGAGCTTGCTGAGGTTTGCCCCCCTTACATGACCTTGTGAATTTATTTGCCCTTTGTGGATAGGAATCTTTATGTAAAGTGTGTGCTTCCTCGTGTGCTTATGCTGAGATCCGACTCTGTGTTTTGGTAACGTTGAAGGTGGTGAAGACAGTTATTGATCCAAGTGCAAGCATAGAGTTCAGGCCAAACACTGCAGATGATCCGCACAAGAGGAAGCCGGACATTGGGAGAGCAAAAGAACTGCTGAACTGGGAGCCCAAAATCTCGCTGAAAGACGGGTTGCCACTCATGGTGAGCGACTTCAGGAATCGCATTCTGAACGAGGACGAAGGGAAAGGGCTTTGAGGACGGGGGAGCTGTTATGTAGAGTGTTAAAGAAGTCTCGTCATCCACGGTCCCTCTCTCTCTTTGTTATCTCTCGCTGGCCTCAGTTATGGGACATACAATCCAGATAGCAAGTTCATATCGAAACCAGATCATTACTCGTTTGCCAGGTTAATCCTCCTCTATATTCTTTGATTATTTCTTTTCTTTCTTCGGAGCCGAATTCGAGACTGCACTTGTTGTTGCTGAGTGCCAAAAAGGCTCCAGTTTTGCTTAGGTTATGTTTGGTGAGGAGGGGAGAATTCATTTTGGTTTGTTGCCTTAGTAAGTAATTTGGAATTTTGGAGGTGTACAACCAGAAAGGAAGAGCTTGCTTTATTGTTTTCGAATCAGATATATAATCTCATACTTATTTCCAACGACGGGGGCGGCCTGAAATTGGCTTTTCACGAAAGAAATCTCTCTTTCTTTTTTCTTTTTTGCACACCAGGGTGAGCAGAGTGTAGTTTGCATTGCAGAAGCCAGAAAGCTTTCGAATGATTTTATTTAGGGCTAATACCACTACAACACCCGAACTATGACAAAAATGCCACTTGTATCATATTCTTTCCAATATTCCATTTGTGTCCTATTGTATGATATTTTTTGCCATCTGTATCCTGACGATTTCGTTGACCGTTAGAGATAACGGTTGACCAGACGGAAGTCAAATTATTGTTGACTTTTGCTGATGTGGCAAAATCGAGGTGGCCACATAAATGACACGTCATTGACACATCAGATTTTAATTCAAAATTAATTAATATTTATAAAAAAAATACAAAAATCGATTTCGGCAACGCGTCGCTCCTTCTTCTCCTCCGACGGAATCTTGCCCCGACCATCCCTTTCAGAGTTGCAGCCTCCAGCGCCGCCGCCATAGCTCCAGGGAGAAAAAACAATCAAATCATCGAAACAGAGATCAAGCTCCAGCAATATCTTCCGGTTGCTCCGCGATCTCCTCGCCATCCTCTTCCTCCTCTCCAGCGGCGATTCAGGCTTCGACTGGAACACCACTATCTCCCCTGCTGCTCTGCCTCCTCCTCCTTCGTTACTTTGCTTCTCGGTCGCCACCAGCGGCTCGAATTCTTCTTTCGGAGAGGAAACTATCAGCTCGGAATTGAAATCTTTATCTTGTTCAACGACATCGGAGCTCTGGATTACATTTGGTTGCTCTGTTCTTTTTCCGATTCTGGAGATGGGATGGGATCGGCGGCGGGGAGAATTGGAGAAGAGAGGGCGTTGCCGAAAAACCAGAGCGACTCTAGGCTCTCCACCAGCTGCTCGTATTCCGCCATTGGAAATCCCCAACAGGCGAGATTTCGGAGAGAGATTAGGGATTCAAGACCATCGACTGAACCCTTTGTCGCCCTCTTTCGCCCAAATCCAATCGACATTTCCTCTATCTCCAATCGAAATCCCAGACCATCGACTGAATCCTTTGTCGCCCTCATATCGATGGTTTATGTCGAGCTGAGATTTAAACTTCAACCCCGCAGATTTGAAATCTGGTGAAGAGATCTCAAAGCGAGCTTTCCCTTCTCTGAATCTGGCCCCGACTGCGACAAAACGATGGTGTTCAGATGGTTGAGGACGCCAGATCCGAGTAGCGAATCGAGGTCGTGGAGAAGGCTGGAGAGAGTTGCGGAAGCGAAGTCTTGGTCGCTGGAAGAGCATCTTGTCGCCGGGGAGGGGATTTGAAGGGATTGCAGTCGCGGCGGAGTAAGAGGAAGCGACGGAGCAAGCTTGGGAGGGGGATTAGGTAGATGAGATTAGTAGATGAGATTAGGAATTTTTAACTTTTTGCTCTTTTTCTTTTTTTTAATTGTTATTTAATTATTTAAAAATAACACGTCAGATGCCACGTCAACGCTGACTGGATTTTCTGTTAAATACTAACGGTCAACGCTGGTCAACACTAACGGATAAATAGTTCAGGACACAAATGGAATATTGGAAAGAATAGGATATAAGTGGCATTTTTGTCATAGTTCGGGTGTTGTAGTGGTATTAGCCCTTTTATTTATTTTATTATAACGTGTGAAGAAAGCCATAAGCACCCCTTTTAGAGGATTGAAAGAAAGGGAAGAATTTCTACAAAAAAAAGGTAAAGGAAGAAGGTAGCGGAACAAGTCAAGAAGGTGAAGCATCAGATTCCGCATGCCATTTTGAGGATGAATGAATAACATTCCAGGCCCAGTTCATAGAGAAGATAAAGAGAGAGAGAGAGAGAGAGAGAGAGAGAGAGAGAGAGAGAAATAGAAATAGAAGAGAGCAATCAGCAAAGAAAGCTAACTTTGAGGGAGTGTCTCCTCCGCCAAATCCATCTCTTCGCGCGCGAATATATTCTGGTTTTACTTTCATCTGGCAGCCCATTTCCTTTCAATTATTCGGCTATTTCAAAGACAACACGTTTTCCTTTTCAGAAAACTGAAATAAATACACCATAGTGGCCTCAGTGCGGGTCTCACAGGATTTGTTAGTTCCCAGAATGAGCGCCCACTAGAAATTTCATCGCTAGACTATGTGGAGAAATTATTGCATACACCGGGAGTACCACGTCACCAATCCCACGTGGTGCTCCCATCCAATAGCTGATCGCCACATGTCCCAAAAATTTCATTAACTACTTTTTAGGTGGAAACGTGTTTTAGCAGAGCTTTTATTCCTTTTCTCTTAATTAATTGACCACTTTCAAAACTTTTTCATCTTCATCTTCCTTGTTCTTTTCTTTTGCAGAATAGTGAGACGAGCTCCTCTCAAGCACATCAATGACTTCGATTGCTGCTACTTGGTCGGCGGCTTTAGGGGGTCAGACCCTGTTCTCTATTTGCGGCGTATTAGGAGTCCCGGCGAACGGGCTTATGGGTGATATTGGCGCTGGGTGAAGAGTCTCAGTAGTAAAAGAAGACGGCCAACAACAGCAGAAGAAGGAATTCGGATTTTGTGACTTTCAGAAGCAGGAGAAGGCGACGGCTATCGGCGGAAGAGTTCGATTGGGAGCAGGAGAAGGCGACGGCTGCCGGCGAAAGAGTTCGATTGAATTTTGGCCTTTTGGGAGATGAAACGACGATGTATAATTGTATATTAATTTTTTTCCTTAAAAAGAAATTTACAGAAAAGGAATTAAAACTCTGAACAAATACGTTTCCACCTAAAAATAAGTTAATGGAGCTTTTTAGACATGTGGCGATCAGCTATTGGCCGGGAGTACCACATCACTAATCCCACGTGGTACTCCCGGTGTATGCAATAATTTCTCGACTATGTGATTTCCTGATAGAATTGTCAACTTCTTGCTGATAGAAAAGTCATGGTCATTTCCCGAAATCTCGTGTCGAAATCACTATCATTTCTTGTGATTGTGATTTCCTACGGACAATGGTGGCAATTGATGGACCCACTATTCACCTGCTTTGACTTACCTTTTGAAATACTATACTTTTATTCTAGGTAGGGGTGTACATGAGTCAAGTGGTTCGTGTTTGGTCATTTTAATCACCCGACCCTTGCACTACGGTTTTGAACATACCAAATCCAAACTCGCACAAAAAATTTAGAATCCTGCGATTTGTTTATAATTGGGTTGAGTTGGGTTGGAGATAATTTTAATTAGAAACTCAATCCAACAAAAAAAAAACTATTCTACACCACAAAATATTATATAGCTAATTAAATTTTTGACAAATAAATGGAAGCAAAAGGTATTAAAATGTATAAATGGTGCTTGTATTTTAATGAAATACAATTTGTTTCAACATAAGTTTAGTTTTTCCCACAACCATTTGTCGAAATAAACTAAAATGGTTATAAGTGAATGCAATCATAATATAATATTCTTCTAAAATTGCCATACACAAAAATTATGTGAATTGTAGCCTATATTAAATATACATCTAAATTTTAAGTAGAAGAATGTATTTGGCTAGGGAAATCACAAGAGAAAAATATGATAAAATAATCTTAATTTTCTTACAAATATGCTTATAAATGACACAAATATGTTTTGGACACGAACATTTATGACAATAGTTGGAACACGGGTTGAGTCGGATTCTACGGGTTGCGTAACCCAAAATCTGCACCATCTCAATATAGGCGGGTTGTACAAAATAAAATCCTCACCCAACCTTATATCTTAATTTTAATAAATACGGATTGTTTGGATCAGATTGAACGGGTGGATCGGTTTACGAGTTGTTTTGTTCATCCTAATTTCAGGTATAGTTATAATTTATTAGTTATCTAATATGACGGAGAATGCTAAAGTGTAATGGGAATATTGACGAGTATTGGGGAATGTAAGTAGGAGAAAGCCAAGGAATTCAACTACAATGTTTTCCTATAAATAGGGAGCACCCCTTCCCCTCTTTACAAGACAACTTATACCCAAGTCACTTACGACAACTTCAAACGAAGCCAAACCTTCAGAACTCTCTCTCTAAAAAGGTTTTCTGTATCCTCATGATCACCTAAAACGTGTTAAATCTATAAACAATGAACACACCCTCGATTTGGCAGACTAACCACATGAAATCGTGGATAGTCTCCATCGGGCGGCATTAAATAGCCGACGACGCTCAATTACGACCGTGAGACCGAATCAAGTCTAACGTCATTGTATTTATTCTTTTTCATTCCGGTTACTAATTTGAACGTTGTAGGAGGTTCCAACCAGGATCCCCCCCCCCCTCCCGGTGGGACTTTTTTTCAGGTATTCCCACGAAACTGGAGTTGGTTCAAGATTTTGTGAAATCGGAGCTCTCCGGACCTTAAACATATTACAACAGGCTGCTCTAAGCTTGACCTCAACAACAATATAAATATGTTTTGGATACTAACGTTTATGACAATAGTTAAAACATGAATTGGATCAAATTCTATGGAATGTGTAATCCAAAATCTGCATCTTGCCTAAAAGAGACAGATTGTACAAAATAAAAATGCTCACCCAACATTAAATCTTAACATTAATTATATATACAGGTGGGTTTGATCGGGTTAGACGACCGAGTAGGTGGATTCTAGGTGTTTTTCCTCACCCCTAACCCCAACAACATTAATCCTCGCACCCATACTGTAAACAGACATGCAGAATCAATCGACCTGATTAACTTGACCTCTGCTCTGCTCTGTCTGCTCATTTCTCACTCCAAGTTTGTCGTTGCCATATCGATACTACATATTTCATCTACCTCATTTATCCCTCAAAGTTTTTTAACATATATATATATAATAAATCCAAACAATTTGTGAACAAGGACAAACCCAGAGTTTCATCAGAAAGGTTCAGTAATTGAGTTTATTATTATGACATTAAAACTGGTAGGCCATTTTCCAATTCCCAATACGTGCAGATGATTTGCTATATTCAATTGCTCCACAGGCTTCACTGGTCCCAAAGAAGTTTGGCCACCAGCTTCAATACGTACGTACAAAACTAATTGCATTAGGTATGTGCATTAAAAACCAAACATTTGAGTTCGATCTAGGGAAATAACTTTTTCACAAAGTAAAATGCAAGGAAGGAATCGTTGGTATGCCCCATTTTCAGTGCAATAAAACCAGCAGTGGGAAAGGTTGTTGCGTCTCATAAATTTACTTGCCCTAGCTTCATAAAAATTCCTGCAGAGGTGGAGTCATGAATATTAGGTTAGGCAAAGCTACAACCTTTTAATACTTCACATTAAGTTAGAGAATTACTACAATGACTTCCAGTAAGTTAATAAAAATTATATTATGTGATGTACAATAGTCATTACTTGTTATGTAAAATTTACGTTATGTGGGATCCAAGAGTTTCATGGTTAAAACACGTAACTAATGTTTCTCTCACGTAATAGTTATAGACTACCGGTTTACATATAAAGTCATTATCGAAGGCTTTAATAAGAGCTTTTTTAAACAGCTGCATAGGAAATAATTTTCATTTCTTAACCTTTACATAATGTATGTATCATATGTAAAAGTTGTGGAATGACGTTACCTAAATTTTATGCAATCGATTTAAGTGTTTTTGTGACACATTGGCTCGACCCAAACTGGAAGGAGAGCCAGGACTTAAAGACTTATTAGCATGGAACATTTGTTCTTCCGGTGTAGTTTTTCATTGCAGGTGGTGGATAGTTGGAGTGCTGCGAGGCAGTTCTGCAAACAGACATGGTAGGATGCAATACATGTTGCAGTTGAGTTTCGTAGAAGCAAGGCAGCTGCTGGGAGGATTGCAAGGGCTTTTTTGGTGTGCTTATATTGCATGTGTGGAGAGAGAGGTGCAACAGACAACATAATGGAATTCCCTGGGATGTTGTTGCAATTAGGAAGGTTGATTTTGTTTGATCTAATGCACTTAAGTAGTGCAGATGATAGTCTGCACCATGATCTTCATGTGTTGGGGCTTATTCCTTGATAGGCAATCTGTTAGTTAATTAGTTGAGGTTAGTAATGCATAGTGGGTGCTTTTGGTTCTTTGTTTTATAGGGCTGTTCACACTGAGCTTTCCTTTCGTTGTATTATTTCTGTTTATGCCGCGTAACTAGGCGCCTACTGCTCGCCCGCCCGGCTCCTAGTACCACCGCTCCTGTTGCACGCCTCTCCTTGCACACAAAGGTGTCCTCGAGCACCCTTTCGGGCTCATTAGCACTCCGACGCCCAAGTTAGAACCACCACTTTTAGAGAGAGAAGTGAATATTGATTTTAGAGAGAAGATCTAACCTGAGTAAATGAGCTCCACCAACTTCACTATTTATACCCAGGGTAGGGTCGACCACTGCCCCCCAAATCCGCCCCACGTCATCACACCATTAAATGCACTGTACTTCCCCCTTGACAGGCGCCCCGACACTCTGACACATTGCTCAGGGACCCGAGGCGCATTGCCCCACTTCCTGTCCCCTCCGTACGCTTCTGACCGTTGCCTCCCTTTGTCGCCATGCGCCCTTCGTTAGGCTCGACCCCACCGCACAGGTTACAGCCTTAGGCCCCTTTTGGGTTGGTTTTCCTTTTGCTGGGCCCGCATTCCAGGCCCAAATTGGCCTTCTGGGCCCTTATGTGCCCCAACAATTTCTTAGATGTGTTTTGCGTATAGTTTTACAAAATAAAAGTAATTGATTCAACGAGAGAGGAAATTTATATTACACAACCATTTTAACTCGTGGATGTGTTATTTAAATGAAAACAATATAATTAGGTGTAAGGTAGACGAATTATGGATGGTCATTGCTGAATGGAGGAGCTAATGTGGTCTGAACGGTAATGTAATTTATAACTAACTAAAGGCTAAAATACAAATAAGAAACAGAAGTAGGAAAGATAAACGAAGGAGTGAAATAAATGTGTTCTCAACATTTAATCGACTGTCGTCAGGATCAGGAATCTTTCAAACTCGCAATATTGCTGATATTCCTCACAGTGTCACAGTTCAACTCCCCCAATTCACTCTCCCACACCCGAAACAAAGACAGAAGAAAAAAAGAAAGCAGAAAGCCAAGAAGAACCAAGTTCCCTTGGGAAGTTCCTCTGCCTTTCTTTCCCCCCTCCCTTTTCACCATCGAATGTTAGATTCTCTGCCACCGCCACCACTAGCTCAGGCAGAAAAAAGAAGCAGCCAACCCACATTTCAATTTATTCCTTTCAATCCTCCAACCACATAAAAAAAAAAATGAAACGAATCGACATCTTCTGCGCCTCCCAAGCCTCCACCGCCATTTGCATGAGCATGGACCAACCCTCCTCTTCTTCCTCCTCCGCCCAGCTCGGCGGCCGGGCCATCGACCGCCACAATCCGATCATCAGAGATCTCAGAAGAGCCCCTCGAGTCCTTCCCAACCCGCCGTGTACAGCTTCCCATCCGCCTCCCATCTCCCCACGGCCTTACAATTTACTCGACAAGACCAAAAAGCTCAAGAAGACCAAAACCAAGAATTCTTCTTCTACCGCAGCTTCAAATCATCAGCAGAAGCAGAGTGATGATCTTCACATCGCACAAAAGGGCAAGAAAACCTCTTTTTCTTCTTTTGTTGCTCCTTCCTCCTCCTCCACTAGTCTCTCGGTAGCCAGAAATGTGGTTTCCAAGAGCTGGCCTGTGGATTTGGTGACCCCGCCCGGTTCTTCAAGATATCTGTTGAGCGACTCTGTTTTCTTCGATGGGTTCTCCGATTTCGACCCGGTTCCCGAACCCGAAACTTCCGAGCCCGAGAAAAAGGTGCCAGCTTTGGAACCAGAGCGGGGAGGCGATGACAACCCAGTTCATGTTTCGCCCCCTAAACCTCCTCCGCCTATGGAAAAGCCATCAAACCAGGTTCTTGCCCTGTTTTTTGGTCTACTCTGTTTCTGGTTCATATTACATAATTTTGCCCTGTTTTTGCCCTTGATTTTTTCTGAAATTATGTTTCGGTGTACTTGTTGCAGGTGGTTGTGCTGAGAGTGTCGCTTCACTGCAAAGGGTGTGCTGGGAAAGTGAGGAAACATATCTCCAAAATGGAAGGTAAGAGGGAGAGAGAACTACTGCTACACAGTGCTTTATCTTCTTGCTTCGCTATCAATTTTGTCGTCTTTGAAAGGACTCAGTAGTGTTTTATGGCTGTCACAGCAACAAAAAAAAAAAAAGTGAAACTGAAAGCCTGAAACTGAAACCGAAACCTGCTTCCTCTACTTTTTGGTTTAATTATTTGACTGCCGACTAGTCGTTTTAGGTGGTTACTGAATACTGACTGGGTCGCTGGTGAAAAAAAAAACAAAAAAAACAGGGGTGGCATCGTTCAACATAGATTTTGCAGCGAAGAAAGTGACGATTGTGGGAGATGTAACTCCATCGTCTGTCCTGGAAAGCGTCTCCAAGGTCAAGAACGCCCAATTCTGGACGGCTCCAACTCTAGCTTCCCCTGCCAACGTGGAGCTGCTGAAGAAATAATGATAGTAAGAAGTAAGAACAAGATTTGATTTGGAGAATCAATGATGTTGCTGTTTCTGATTACTGTGAATTAACGAATAGAGAACTCTTTTTTCCCCTTTTTTTCCTCCTCTCCCTTGTTAGCGTTTTTGTGTTGTTGTGGCATTTTGTACTAGTATAATCTGGGCTGAGAACTGACAACTGAGAGACATGTTGGTTCTGTATGGTAAAAAGACAAAATCCAATGTCATTGTTGTTATAATAATGCGACTCGGAACTGAAGGAAGACATATTACCGAACTGAGCGCTGCCAATTTCCACGTTCTATGATAGAGATTAGAAATGAGACTCTGCTTACTGGCGGGCCTTAAGAAATCTGCCTTATGTATACAAAGGGAAGACTGCAATCTGCAGCTCTCGCGTGAAACTTACTGTACCAACTAACGAACGGTCGCTATTAAACGAACCTATCGCTGAATGACACGTAAGCGTAGTAGCAGACTGGGTTTAATCTTGTTAATCTGATTGACTTCATTGCTTGGTTGATTAGGACTGGGTTAAAGGAAGGCCGGTCCAACCTCTTGTTTGCTAGCTTCATCTTCTTCACTTGTTCACAGCAACTTGCAGAGTGCTCTTCTCTCTTCATCTTGATCAAAACTCTATTGCAGGTAGTTTTGCTTCACATGCCTACTTAAACCGGCGAGTATTATATTATGTACTCCTAGCTTGGCTAACAAGAGCTCAAAACAATCAACTAACAACCCTTTAGTTTAGTAAATAAGTCCGAGAAATCGACATGTATAAAAGCAAATCAATCAATACGAGGACAGGTATAAAGAACTTAACAGAAGCAGTTTTTCGTCGATTTGGGGTGTCATTTTCTCTTACTTCGGATGATTTTTGTGCTATAATGCAGGTGAGTAACGATATTACCACGAAGCTATACGGTCGGAGAGAGTAGTCATTCTGGAATATCAGTCATTCGTCGTCAAATTTCGGCTGATGATAGCTACTTTACCATACTCGGGTGATTAGCTGACTACAACAACAGAGTTTATGAGCACGGCGACATAACCTATCACCTATTGCTAGGAACCGAATCCACATTTCAGAGTTTCTGCATCATTTGCTTCGCAGGCCTGCAAGCATCCTCCTCATCTACTCCAATTCACTATATACGACATTAATCGGCTTCTTCCTCTTGTTCCCTTCTCTGAAAAATGAAACGCTCGGTTTATTTATCTCTGCAACATTTCTACACTGCTCCAACAAGCTCTATCACCAAATTCTCCAATAAACCTCTCTCGATCTCCCTCCCAATCGCATCGATCTCGCCTCCTAAATCCAGCCACTGCAGCTCCCCTGACAGCACTTCATCTTCAGCCACCTTGTTACCTTTCTCGCCTCCTCGGCCCTCGAGCACCTTGTTAACCCTATCTTTGAGCCCACTCTTACCCCATTTCAAGCTGATCTTCGTTTGAACCCCCACCCAGGGTTGTGGATCGTTGAACTCCAAGTTTATCGCCACGAGCGCAGCGTTTATTCGGTCGAAAAGCAGCCTTCTCTCGGACCTCGGCCAGCTCACATGGCTGCTGCTATATTTCTTCTCGAGTTCCTCGAACACCGACAGGCTTACAGGGCAGTCTGAAGAGTGCATTGTCCCTGCGAAAGTGCTGGGATCTGTATCATCAATGCCAGAGCTTCGTAACACAACGGATGTGTAGCTAAGTTCCTTGCATTCTTCGGCTGATTGTAGTAATTGTCTGTGGTGTGAATGTGGAGCTGAGTCTTCATCATCGCTGGAGACGAGCATGGGACCCTCGTCATATGATTCTGACTCTAATTTCAGTAACTTGAGTTGCAACCGAAGTCCTACAGAGAGGAATAACATATTTAATGACTATTCTGATGGAGACAAGCCGGAGAAATTAAAACAGGAAATATCTTGTGCAGTTATTACCTTTGAGATCAGCACTTAAACTCTCGAAGCAATCAGAGCCAGAAGATGAGTCATCTGGAAAGGGAGTTTCAAGAACTGATACAGGGCTGGGTTGATCAGTCTCCTTGGAGCTTGCTGACGATTCTGGTTCCGTTATCGGTTTGGCTGTAGGGGTTGAGCACTTTTCTAGCCAAGGAGTTGGTTCCTGGAGTTAAAACAAGGTGAAAGGAGTCAGGACATGCATAAACTACTCGATTGATCCCGCGTGATACAAGGACAACGTGAAAGATCTGGTTGAGTTCAAATTCTTCTGATGGACTAGGAACTAAATAAATGCATATATCTCCAAATGAGAAGTTGAGTCTCTAACTATATAGTAAGCATAACACTGTGTTACAGCCTCAGAAAATCAACTGAGAAGGAAACATGAGAATTATAGATATGCACATAATGTCCATAGAAAATGAGCAAGGATTTCAGGGAAGCAAATTACGGAGACAGCATCGAAGCTAACCTGTGAACTACATTCTTCCAGCTCCCTGTGAGAAGCCTCTGCCTTTACCATCGTATCAGCTGGTAACTCTGAACTCGTTGATGTAGAACAGTCGATTACCGTATCCATATCCACAGTCATGCTTTTAGTTTCATGAAATAACCCTCCTAATTCCCTGGCTGAACCCTCCTGAACCAATCGACATTGACCATTTGGATTCTCTTGTGACACTCTCTTGTGCAAGAAATTGTGGTAACCGAAAGAGGACTCTGGGGAAGAAGTGTCTCCTTCGTCGCTGTAAGTATATACAAGAGTACGGGATTTCCTACTTCGAGATCTTGAAGTTCTAGAAGATAAACCTTCTCCCTGACCAAGATTACCTTTGCCCGTCTTGCTTCTTGAACGGGATCTCAACTCTCTGACTGTCCTGTAGCTGTCATCATAAACAGTCCTTCGGTGTGAAGCAAGTTGAGGACTTCCAATACCACCAGCAGGTGAAGTAGGTACTGATTTTGATCTTGGCAGGCTTTTAATGAATGGATCCTTCCACCCATCTCTACTACTAATACCCAAAGGTTCACCCATGTTTGGTGATCCATGGCCACTGCTAAGTTTGTCAATAGAACCTGATTTAGAAGCTGACGCCACATTCCGATCAGTGATTGCAAGCATCTCACCTAATGTGCTGCTGCTCCTGCTGACTACTCCCATGTCCACAGATTTATGAGTCATCTTCCACCTTTCTGAAAGTCTCTTCCTCGCCTCTCTGCTAACAGATGATTCATTGGACCGGGATGGTGAACCCTTGTACCGATGACCGCCCAATTCAAACGAATGCCTAGAAGGGACCACTGTCACATCCAATTCATTTGTTGACTCATACTCGGACCAGCAGGATGAACTCTCATCCCCTGCATATCCCCTGATCCTAGAATTTGGAAAAGCATTGGAATTGCTTGTAAAACTGTTTCTTACATGCCTAGTAACTTCCTTTGCAATATCTCTAGGCTCTCCAGATCTGTATCTAGAAGGTCTGACATTGTCAGAAAGCTTCTTCTTTACAGACTCCCTACTGCTGGTTGTTGAAGGATGTTCACCATCCAGACTGGAATCTAAAAGTAAATCATGAGAAGAAAGAGTTGATGATGAGATTGGTTTGGCGGAGTTTTGCACTTGCCCAAGGTTTGGTTTTAGGACTACAATCCTGGTAGGAAGAGCTGAGGAATCTTCTTTCCCCTCAATTTGCACTTTAGCCGTATTGCCTGAACCTTGGTGGCCACCTTGTTTCAAGTAAGAATGCTCACGACGACGACCTTCATATGGTGTCTTCCTACTCTTCCTTGAGGTTTCCTTCTCTGTGTTGCAGACTAGGACATTCCCACCAGAATGAGAACTTGGACTGGAACCATGCAGTTCATGGAGATGCTTTGTGAACATTGAATCTGGCTGCTCAAGAAATCTCAGCAGAAGATCCTGGTTTGAGTTCAGATCCTCGATTGTATCATGGAATTCCTTCGAATCATGAAGCTTTCCATCAGTAGAGAGGCGTTTAGCATCCATGAACTTCTGCTGGATGAATGCCATCTCAGCTTCTGTCATCTTATAGTTTGCAGACCCCAGCAAAGACGAACCTTGAACCCCCTTTCTAGATGATTCTAGGACTTCGTACACATCTTTAAACTCTTGCTCCTCCCTCGAGCTCTTCCTCGATGACCCACGGCTGCTTGATGCGTTACTTCTCTGATGCGGCTTCACTGCTGGGACTGTTCCCTTCATACAGTTGTCTGAAGATCTCCTTTCTTGTCTGTGAGATAAAGGCTGAGATGGCATACCCTCCAGGCCCATTAATCTAGCAATGACGCTAGGCGACTTTTTCTTGGATTCGGTTTCCCTCGTCATTTCCTCAGCCAGTAGCCTTTTTATTGGTGTTCCAACGGCCTGTTTTGAATATCTCAACCCAAATTCACGTTTTAACTGCAAGGAGTTAGAATAGTTCAACGATCAAAATTCAGAAAACCAGCTGAATTACAACAAAACAAGCACCTCCAAATAAACCATACAAATCAAAAACACATGAGGAAACTTGCGTACCGAATCTTCATCCGTGGTATCACCGCTCCAAGAAGTCGAATCAGAGGCCGGTTTCGAGAAGTTCCTCTGTATCTGGTCTTGCCCGTTTCCGGTTCCTAGTAAAATTAGAATGACGAATTTGAGCTGAAGTGCAAAGCTTTCGAGAAGAAAAGATCTACTCCAGCCAAGGGGAGAGCTTAATCCAGAAGCGATTTAGGAAAAAGCAGAACACAGAACAACTTCAATTAATGGAATAAAGCAAAGCGCATGCCTTTATTTGTAGAGCCATCAGCGGTCAAGTCAGAGCCCAAAATAGATGATAATAATCAATCATAGCCCCGATAACTAATTCGCAAAAGGGAAGAAGATGAACAAAATCATGGCGATGCCACTACAGGGGAAAAGTTTTCCGAAACCTACTTTAATGAACACTCGAGCACAAAAGCTAAAACTTCACTCAACCTAGTTGTTGAATGTTGACGACTTCTCTAGCATTGCACAAACAGTTCCTCTAATTATGATTCATAACAGAATTAGCATTTTCTGCCAGCTAGCAGAAGCCAGAAAAAAAAATTCTCAGCAACCAAACAGAACCCAAAAAACGAGAACAGAGAGCATGAGCGTCACCTTGTCTCAGCCTCTGAGAAGAGCTGCTCCTGAGCCAGAACGCCTCCATTTCTCACTCATTCGTCAAAGACGTTTCAAATTTAGGGAGAGAATTTGTCTTTTTTTTTTTTTTGGGCTGGTGATATAGAAATGTGGAGATCTAATCTACACCGCAGTAGGCGGAAAAAGAAGGATCCGAGGAAGAACAAAACCCTAGATTGAAGCTCAACCGTCAAGCGACCTCCCTCTCTCCCTCGTAGGCGAAAGATTCGGTTTCCAGATCTTGATCAGAACACGGGACGGGACGGAACGGAATAAGAAACAGTTCCAGAAGAACAAGAGCGGGGAGATGGATTTCGGCAGGCGGCGAGTAATAAAAGTGAAGAGACGTTCGGCCACCGGCGGCGTCCGGCGAGGAGAGAGAGAGAGAGAGAGAGAGACGTGGGTGTGCGTGCTGTGCGGAGGTTTAGTTGGTTTTAGAGAGAGAAAGAGAGAGTGAGGATTTTGAACATTCAAATACCGATAGAGTGAGAGAGGGAGAGAGAATCACAGCGCGGGGAAGTAGTAGTAGTAGTAGTAGTAATGGAGGAAGGCTCTCTGATCTGGTGCGTCCGTGAGAGGTAATTACTGGCTACGTGTTGGGATCTGGGGGAGTCCACGTCGGCCTCCTCCTCAAGCTAATTGGCGGAGTGGGGTCCAGTCTG